AGTCACCAGTGTGTGTTTCCTGAATTGACTGTATTTAGGAAGTAAGGCAGGAGAAAAGGATGGCATAGGTGCCAGTTTCCATCTCTTGCTCCTGCTCTTACCAAATCTGTTGAGCAATTGGAGAAGAAGAGGGGGCAGATGGAGCCGGGTCTCCCCTGCCTGGCCACATTCATGACTCGGGGGGTGTTGGAAAGCAGTGCTGTGGGTTTTCAGTTGATGGCACTGAATGGAGCCGTGAGGATTTAGAGCTCCTTGCCAACTTAAAGTTTAGTTTCTGGTATTTAAAGTTTCACCCACAGTTGTTACCAGCTTTGATTCTGAACACATGTAAGTTGTCATGAAAATGTGTCTCTTGCCCTGTAAGTTTGGGGTAGTCGGCAACATAAGGTTTTTGAATCTTAGAGACCATTTTATCCCACCTGTCTAGTATTTTGAGATTAAATTCTTTACCCAGATAAGACACTATTTCCTCATTCTATAGGTCTTGACTTGAGGGGACACTGTTAAGCACTATAGGATTATGGGGCTAAAAAGTTTGTACCACCTAGAGTTGTTTATCAGTGGGGCTGCTCTTTTGCAAATGAATAATTCTAAGACAATGTACTAAGTGTTACAGGAGTGGTTGTAAGAAGTACCTGCCTCTCCACTTATATTGAGCTGCTGGTCGCCTTGCCTTCGTTGACTTTCCAGTTTCTAGGTTGCTACCTTAAGTCCTTGCACATGCTGTTCCTTCTGCGGGGGAAGCTCTCTAACAATTTTTTGCCTGATGAGTTTTACCTGTCTTCTAGTTTCTGCTAAAATGTCTCTTCAAGGGAAATGATTCTGATCCTCCCAGATTAGGTTAGGCTTCTATTTATATGTGTAAGACCCACCCTTAATCTTTTATTATTCACTGCAGTTGTAATTAAACATCATTGGGGTTTTATTGGATAATCTGTATCCCTGTTCGGTTATGGTTGTAAGAAGAGACCTCATCTGTCTTGTTTTGGCTTGTATCCCAGCTCCCAGCACAATGTGTGACATGTGGTAGGAAAATGTAACTCAGCAAATACCTTTGAATGAATGAAAGTGCATGAACACAGAGCTGAGGGTGGGTGGCAGGCTCTGTGGAAGTGGGTGCACACATGGCGTGGGGAGTGACCCTTCTGGGTTAGAGTCACAGGAGTCTTGTTTGAGCTAGGTTCTGAAAGTGGAATAGGATTTCAACAGATGGACAAGGAGTTAGAGGACACAGCTGTGCACACAAGGTGCAGGTATACACAGAACTTACAAGGTTTCCACGTGGTTTTTTGGGAGAAGCTTTCTTTAAGCGCGATCAGATTTAGTGCAGGCAGGTCAGGAAGAACTGGAATGGTGAGAGATTGTAGACAAGTCATATGGTTATAATTGTAGTGTAAGTTATTATATAAAATGTGAGGTAGATAATATCCCATCTTACAGATAAGGAAACTGAGGTACACAGAGCTTAAGTAACTTTCCCATGGTTATGTAGCTAGGAAGTAATAGAGCCAGGAATGTTTTCATTGAAATAAACAATTTTTTGAATGG